TATTATTATATATTTTTTATTATAAATTTTATTTTATTATTATCTTATTTACTCACTTATTTATTTTCTTCCGAGAGGATTGTTTGTTATGAGAGGGAGGGAAGGGATTTTATGACTGTTATTGTTTGTTCATTGTGTATTGTTTATTGAAAACGACCAAAAACAATAATATCATAGATTATAATGAATTAATTTGGTATAGTGCACTGGATGTATACACCTGGCAGTGCAGAGCTCTGGAACAACATTCAGACTAAAGTTCAGGGAGATAACGTACAGAAAACATAACTGACCATTTAAATAAATGAATAAAATTGGACTTCTTTTTGATTTAAGTCAAGTAAACCTTGTAAAATACACATGCAGTGCATATTTGCAGGGATACCGAGAGGATGCTAAAAAGGAAATAGAATTAATCTCAGATACAAAATGAATAAAAAGTTATTGAGCTTCGGCATCAGAAGCTAAATATACGTCTTAAGGGTCTTACTGTTACAACGCTGTGGTTTAAAGTAATAAAAAAGGAGCTCAAACATAAAGTTGCTGTGTCTGTGTTCATTTATTGTGTTTTTCTGTGGTCTGCATCAACAAAAATAGCTTTAATAATAAAAATATATTAAAATGTAATCTACATATTCTTCTTTCTTAGGAACAACGAACTAAAGTGTGAATAAAATTTAACGACACAATTATAATAATAACAAGCTAGTGAGTCATAACCGAGGCTTTTAAGTTTTCTTCTCTGGTGAATGCAAAGTGCTCGAATACAAAGAAACCAAACATTTTCCCAACTAACAGAAAAAACTAACGAAATTCTAGTGAAGCACTTAAAATCAGCTCATTCACAGTTTCATACTTTATTAACCTGCTTTTATTTTCTTCATCCAATAAAAATGAGCACAATTCATTTGAAAAAAGCAAAAGTTTATTAAACTGCTTTAATGTTTTTTTTTTTTTTAAACATAGTACATGATGGTGATACATTAATTACAGCAGGGGTCTCAAAGTGCCGGCCCGGGGCCCATTTCTGGCCCTCCACCCCCTCCCTCTGGCCCCAGACATGATGTCAAAACTATAATATAATCTGACCGATAAGATCAATCAGTTTAAAAAAATTTTTTTTTCTGGTTATTTCATATGAATTTTAAACTAACCTTCATATACAATTACAATAAAACTGCCTGATATAAAACTGTATAAGAAACTGCTGTTTGTATTGTTTGTAGTATTGGAAACAGTTTCAGAATATTACACTCTTACTTGAACATTGACCCGGAGATAACAATACCAACAGTGGCCCCAGACAATGTGAGTTTGAGACCGCCATGCATTACAGTCATCTATGAAATAACCTGAATCCGTAATGACTATATTTTAAGGAAAAGCTCCACAGAATTCTTTCTGTTCGAGGTGGAAACACAAAATCTGCAGTGGAAACTGTGGAGACATGTGGCTGCACACAGCAAAATCCAAATGTTTGATTTCATGTATTAATTTTGCCCAATAGGGAGACAAAGGTCATTTTATTTTGAAAAATCACAAGAATAAGTAAAACATTCATTTGTTAAATATCAGATTGGCTCTGGATCAAAGTACATATTATTGGGCCCGAGCAGCAACCGCTGAGGGAATTATTATTTGGCTTAACTTAGTTATGAAATGTGGCACAAAAGTTGGCGGTAGTGAAAATGTACGTGTCATTCC